TTGGACCATGGAATGGACTTGTGGGTGTGGGGGCAAGATCTTGAACTTTCAACTGAGTGGGAAAACCAGGAAGCTTTCAGATTCGGTTTTTCCCAGATGTGCCAACATGGCTCTCTTAATAAATTGGAACTTTGCCTTGGACTCTGATTTACTTTTGGATGTTATTTGGAACCCTGACAATATAAGTCTAAGTGCTATTGATATTAATCTTCATTTCCCAAAGCTTCAAGAAGCACAGCAACAAACTCCACAAAAGGGGACCCTGAAATGGATTCAGAAGGATGTGTGACATCAACACAAACCAGAGACCCTACGAGAGGCATTTCACTGCTCACACAATAGACAGTCATGTCTTCCTGAGGATAAAACACACCCAAGAACAGAACTGCCACCTTCTAAGGCACAGCAAGACATCTGTAGCAGAATGGAAGTTACACACAGGGAGGGAATGAGGGACACCGTTTTAACCAGCACAGCCAGTACCTGAGATGGGACCAAGTTGGGCCATCTTGCCTAGCCAAGGAAGGGGCTCCAGTCCTGGCTCAAAGAGAGACATCATTAGGTTGGACTTTTTCTTGCTATCGGCTTGAGAATAGAGCATTCCGTACCATTCGGGTCTGAAAGGAAGAACCAGAGAATCACAGTGAAAACAGCTGTTGTCGCTTAGAAAAAAAACATGTACTGTATTTTTCGCACTATAAGACACACCGGAGTATAAAACGCACCAAGATTTTGAAGAGGTAAATTTAAAAGAAAAAGTTTTTGCCCTCCCCGGCCCCCAGGAGTACTCGGCAGGCCTCCCAAACCCTCTGCACACCCTGTTTTTTTGTGAAAAATGAGCATGCAGAGAATTTGAGAGGCCTGCAAAGTGCTCCTGGGAGCCAGGGAGGACAAAAATGTGACATGTGGGGGATTTGGGCAAAAATGGACACACAGAGGATTTGGGAGGCCTGTAGAGTGCTCCTGGGGGCTGGGGAGGGCAAAAACACCCCCGTTTATGTGAAAAATGGGTTCCTTTTCACTCATTTTTGCCCTCCATAGCCCCCAGGAGCACTCTACAGGCCTCACAAACCCTCTGCGCATCCCATTTTTGCAAAAAATGGGTTGTGCGGGGTGAGGTTTTGGGAGGCCAAAAATGCTGTATTCAGTGTATAAGATGCACCCAGATCTTTTTTTGGGGAGGGGAGGTACATCTTATACTCTGAAAAATATGGTACCTACAGAAAGTCTCTAACTTACTATAACCGAGTCCAAAATTTCCGGCTGTCCTAAGGGAGCTTTGCCCCCATTTTACGACCTTTCTTGTCACTGTGATGATGAACTACAGTTGATAAGTTAGTAACCACAGTTGTTAGGTGAATCTGGCTTTCTCATTGACTTTGCTGGCCAGGAGGTCGCAAAAGGGGATCACGTGAACTGGGGACATTGCAACCGTCATAAATATGAGTCAGTTGCCAAGGACCCGAATTTTGATCGTGTGACCAGGGAGGGGTGCTGCAACAGTTGTATATGTGTGAAAAATGAACATAAGTCACTTTTTTTCAGTGCTCAACAACTAAAAAGAGTTCCTTTTGCTAGCAGGAAGAAAATCCAATAGTGTCCTGTTGCAGTTTTTCTCAACCTGATCATGTTTAAGAGGAGTGGACTTCAATTCCCAGAATTCCCCAGCCAGCTGGCTGGGGAATTCTGGGAATTGAAGTCCACCCCTCTTAAACCTGACAAAGTTGAGAGACATTGGCCTGATGCTCATCTCACCTCTCAAAACTTCCTAAAATGTTCAATTCCAGGGCACAAGTAATTTGCCTAAATCAAATCTGCACCGCCACCCATGAACACGGGGGAATCACAATCTTCTTTTTAGTTGCAAAGTCGCGTCCGATCCATCGCAACCCCATGGACAACATTCCTCCAGGCCTTCCTGTCCTCTACCATCCTCTGGAGTACATTTAAGCTCATATCTACTGCTTCAGTGATTCCATCCAGCCACCTCCTTCTCTGCCGTCCCCTTCTTCGTCTTTTGCCCTCCATCGTACCCAGCATGAGGCTCTTCTCCAGTGAGTCCTTCCTTCTCATTAGGTGGCCAAAGTACTTGAGTTTT